ACTGTAAGAAGCGATTTTGCAGCAAACTGAGTGGCTCACTTGTTTGATTTCTGACATAGATTACCACAGCAAGAATTGTTTCACCAGACATCTCAACTCCATACGTTAAACTCATAGCAAAGCTTGGGTCTGCAAATATTTAGGTACAAGTTTCCTAACAGAAGTAAAAGTTCATATAAACTGTCACATACAGTTGTATGTAAGAACTGACAACTGTCAGGCATGTGCACTTGTAGGACAAGGTTCATAAAGTATGTGTCAGCTAGAAGACACTTCTGGAGGTCATCTAGACCAAAGCCCTGCTTAAAGCGGGCTCAGGGCCACATCCAGTTGAGATTTTGGTGTCTTCAAGGATGGAGATTCCATAACCTTAGCTCCTGCTCCATTTCTGACTGCTTGTATGGTGACTTTCTTTTCGTAACAGAAACTCGTCTCTGTTGCCTCTTTCCTATCCCTGTGCCCTCTGAGACAGGTCTGGTTCCATCTTCTGTATTCCCTCCCATTAGATAGTTCAAGACAGAGGAAAGGTCTCCCTTAGTTTCCTCTTAAAGCTAAGCAAACCCAGTTCTCTCTCCTCTTACCCCTTGTGCTCCAACCCTCTCATCTTGGTGGCATCCACTGGACTCACTCCAGTGTGTCAATGTCTTACTTCTACTGAGGTGTCCAAACCAGAATGCCAGATGTGGTCTTAAAATTACTGGAATACCAAGTCACACCTGCCCTTGTTAAACTTAACAAGGTTTAGTTCAGCTCATTTCTCTTGCCTGTCAAGGAACCTCTGAATAGCAGCTGTGTCCTCCAGCATATCACAACCTACCTAGTAATACACGCTGCTCTTGATGGAAGCAGCTACTGTGAAAAATCAGGCTCCTTACCTTTGTGGAAGCTACAGATTTTACAAGATGTACTGCGTGATTCCCTCTGCTCTGAACATGCTACGTGCTCACATTAGCAGCTTTCTGAGTATCTTACGAATACAGAAGTGTTGCCTCTGTTTTCTTCTATGGGTCTGAGCTCCTTCTGGCACCACGAGGATGCATCAGGCCCCCATCTGACTGGTTTGGTCAGTGCATCAAAAAGTACCTAGGCCACAGAAGAGACCTAAAAAAACCCACAGTGAATAGGGACAATGCAGAAAGACACAGACTGATACTGAACTGAGACAACAGGAAATGCTACAATTCAATTCAACAAATGCTGACAAGATTCCGATCAAGAATGTTTAACTGTTTTATACTGATAAGAAATCCTGGGACAACGCATCATAATGGGAATAATTTCCAGAACTTTGTTCCATTACAGATTAACATTTTTGTGTGACACTGGATGGAGACAACTTTTCTAGAAATAACAGTTTTTCATCACATGAGAAATCTAATTTGTTTGTTTTGTAAAGCCAGGGCTAGACTAGTAGGAATAGTGCAATTCACTGTTAAGGAACATCTAACCATGATCTCCTGTGAGGGTTAAAAAGGGAACAAAAGTTTTATCACAGAATAATTCAAACAGATAAATCTTATGGCACATTTCAAAGGCTGACATCAAATCGATTTTATGTAGACTCTCTTTATACAGTAAACAGTTACATATAATATGCATGACAAAAACATTACAGTTTCAGTATTTAATATCCAATCTAAATATAAGTATTCAAAAGGAAATATTTTTACACCATTTCAGTAGTCACTTAGCTCAGTAGTTGGTTGTAATAATCCTTAATGTTTTCAGGAACTGGATGGAGCTATAAGCACAAAAACTCCCATTAAAGTTAATGCATGGGAAAGTTCCACTGCAACTCTCTGAAAAGCAAAGAGTTACATTAGAAGAAATTCAGACACAGAAGTACATTGAAATATACTGTGTCCTACAGCAGAGTTTGATATTCTAGTGCTAAGAAACATGATGGTAACTTCACAAGGCACTCTGAATTAAACTACAGTAACTCCGGTCCACAAGCATTTTTGAATTTGGTATTGTATAAAAAACCCCAAACAAACCCCACACCTGCATTTATTCAGTATAAATTGGTTTAATCTCTGTCCTAGCCTCAGAGCAGTCAAATTATATTGCACTTATAAAATATTCTGTGTAGGCTGTGATAAAAATCTAATATTTACATGTTGTGTTTGTTAGAGAACAATGCAATGTAAAATATTTTAAGAACCAAGATTTAACACTTATTCTTGTATTATTAATATAACCAGAGGATAAAAAAAATGTATATTTGATTAGCTCCTATTCTAGAAACATTTTTGGTCCTTCAAAAAACTTCTTGTGCTGCAATTCATGTTCATAACTGGTATCAATGCTGGCCTGAATCTGCAGTTGTTAGACTATTTAAATAAATAAATACATCATTTCTAAAGAAGTCATAGCTTCGGAGTTCTGTAAACAGGCTGCTGAGGCAAGTCTGTAACAAGACCCAATTTGGCATATTGTGACTTTAATTGGCAATACTTTACAGTTATACAACCTATGCCAAGGTAGAAAACAGTTTGGTAGGCACATCTTATAAATCAGTCTGGAAGAAAGACCCCAAAAATACTGATTGTTCCTTTAGTTGTATGAATAAATAAAATGATCGAACAGTAACATGATCCACTGAAACCAAAACTGACATTTTGTGATTTGGGGGGTGGGAGGAAGGGAGAAGAAAATTACGTCTATTCTTTTTTAAATACAACCTAAAGGAAGTGAAGAAGCCATAAATGAATACATGATAAGCACGAAGTACAGGACAGAAAGGTTGGCAGAATAAAATGAGCATTATAAGTTTATAGAAATAGTGATCTAGACAGAACTGGTGCCTTAGCTGCATCTCTCCAGAAGACAATCATCATTCATTTTTCAATCCAAATTTGAAGAAACTGTAAATCCCTGTTTGGTAAAACAAATTCAGTGCAACGCAGTAGCTCTGATGAAAGTTTGCTGACATCTAGGTTGCCCTACTCTCCTGTTAAAACATGAGTGGTAACATAAAAGAAACATAACAGCAGCTGTACCATTACACTTTTTATATACAGACATACGGATATGCATGTTCTAGAAATTCAGATGATGTCAAGAGGCCTCATAGTCTGTGCTGGATACATGTTATATAGTACAGTTGTAGCTTACATGTTCAATTTCATGACATACCCAAAGTGCTCTACATATGCACCTCTGTGCTTCTCTGTAATTTTTATTTAATATAGAATAGCTTTCTTTTGGCTTTCATCACTAAAAAATGATGGTTTGAGAAAGCAAAGAAAAGCTACTTGAAGGATTTTGTGGAAAACACAGGATTTGCTCTTTCAGATTGTTACTGATTGATGAAATGCTTAAACGTTTCTGCCCAAAACCATGAACCAAGTTGGTAAGCTTGCTGTCAGTAGAGACTAAGAGCTGTCACAATATCTAATCTAAATGCCTCATGCGTGTAGTTAATGAAGCCTTCGAAGGGCAACTGAAAATCCTTCCATTCAGAAGCCTACCCTTTCTCACTGCCCATACAGAAAGATGTTTCTGCAATTGGTAATTCTTCTCTCCAAAGTACAGAATTAGAGGAATATCCAGTGCTACTCCTAATTAAACCTCTGTCCCATCACTAATAAACTGCAAGCAAAGATAAATGTTGTTGGAGAGGAAAAAAACAAATATTAATATCAAGGATTAACACAGCCCATTAAATAACCACAGTGTGATCTGTCCATAAGTTAAACAGTTTAAGCTGCAACTGTACTATACTTTCTGATATATATTAAACTTAATTGCAACTGAGTTAACAGCCACATTTGCCTTTTTCTTGCTCCTCATTCAGTTGTTCTGTAGAGCTGTGCCCATTGGTGCGCACTACCCCTTCTGGGATCCAGGATTTATCCACACACCGTTCCATGCGCTTCATGATGAGGTCAAGCAGAGTTTCAATGGCTTTGCTTACATTATTCCCATTAGCTGCACTGGTTTCAAAATAGGGTATTCTGCAGAAGACAAAACCCACAGACTTGTATCACAGTTTATATTCATAGAAGAAAATACAGGATTACTGCCACATACTAAGAAATCACATAAGCACTGTTAGTGTTATTGCACAGCAGAAGTACAATTACTTTATATGACCTCGTGTGCATAAGCATTCTCCTTACTGACTTGTACCTACATCAGGTAGGGAGTCATTGCGAGAGAGGGAACGCTGGTATGCACATTCCCCTGCAGGCAAGGCAGTAAGACTCCTAATGTGATATTCTTACTACAAAAGGTGACTGTTGCTTCTGTTGACACCTCAACAATGAAATCTCTTACATTTAAAAAAAAAAAAAAAATAAGAAAAGAAAAATAAAAATCTTGGTGCTCAGACCTCCCATTTCTTTGTTAACCAAAGTTTCTGGGCACCTTGGTATTGAAAATACATTGCTACTTTTCATTATTGTGGATCAGGGAGTTTCAACGGCTTTGACCCTCTGCGTTCAGTGCTCCCCACAGGGTGGTGCTAGCGCTGCTGCATTAGCGCTCCTCCCAAAGGTACCGACAGAATCTCTTCAGAGTTCTAAGTATTTCTTAATTAACTTGCAAGGTTCAGTGACTGGTCACAAATACTATCTTACTGTCGCAGCGTGAAGGCCTCCTGCAACCATTTTCGGAACACATCACTTACCATTACATGGCTTTGCCACAGAAAGAGGGTATTCACTATCTCACACTTTTGTTTCCAGAAGACTGGTGTTCCTGCAAGCAGGATTTACCTTGCTTCCCCTCAGGAGTGACTCCTAGCAGCTATCCTTTCTCATCTCTACAGGGCAGAGAACTTGGTAACTGTCTACAGATTGTACATGATCTGTAGCTCTTAATTTATTCCTAAATTAAGTTGGCATTTTCAGTCACAAAGATAAGTATTTCATAAACTATTTCCAGAAGTCACAGACAAAGAGATCTCTTTCAAAATAGCCACGACATCTGCTACTGTTTAGAGGTTTTTGCTCCTTCACAAGCAGCTGGTTGAAGTACCTGCTGCTGTCTGTGTGACATGGACTTCAAACAAGCATTTTCACAGGAGAAGGAAAAAGAAAGAATGTAATATTGCACTAAACCTGTTTGTCTCTAATGGACAGATTGCTTCTGATCTGCCTCCCATGAGTTTTCAAGGTCAAGGAAAGCTGATTTGTGACTATGTAATAAGAAATAGCATGGCACAACAGGACTAGACCTGCAGAGCAAGCCAGTTAGCGCTGAGGACCTAGTGTTCACACAATGCATGTTTTGTGGGCTTTACTTTAGACCAGCTCTGATCTACTCCTCCAGACAGGATGCAGATTACAGGTGGGAGCACATCATCTACTTTAGTTTTCGATTGCGAAGGAATCCAGTTCACATGCTAGAAACCTGCTCCACTATGTGAATGGAATCACAGTAAATGCATCAGAAGTCTTGCTTTGAAAGTGCACTTCTGATCCACACTGAAATGCAAATGTAATCCAGACAGAAGTCCCACAGAAGAGTTAACTGTGTATAAAGGTACTATGGGATTAATTAGTACCCGACAGGAACAAAGATTTCAAGTAGTTCCTTTAAGGACATGGGAAGAGCAAGGTTACCCTGTCTTCCTGCTGTCTGACTTGGTTTTCAGACTCCCTGGGAGTCTGGGAGAGTAGAGATGCCTATACGAAACCACGGCTGACCCCTCCGAGGATAAGTCACCAGGAATTCACCTAAGGTATAGTCCTAACAAAACTGCTTGAACAGTTGAGGGAAGATTGAATGGGGAGAGGGAGCAGTGGTCTGGACCAGAACTGCTCTTCTGTGGGAAGAGCACTCTGTAAGCAGACCGTCCAAACACTGGTGAATGGGTCCCAAGGCTCTCAAAGAAACTCAGGCCTCATGTTTCCATGGCCATGGCAGAGGTAATGGCTACCTTAGAAGGAACTTCTGTAAAACAACTCGCCTCGTAAATTAGGGTATCATTGCTTGGTATTGTTTTTGCTTTCCCCACAATCTGATGTGACACTCCAAATACTCTTGGATTTCACTTTGTAAGAGACCTGGGTTTTCTGTGTGTCATAGAAAGCCTCAGCACAGGCAAGATTAAAGAATTAGACCCATATCATTCAACTGCATCTCCAGCTGAATTGTATCTCTTTTCCAGAATATTTGTGAAAATTCACTTTGTTTACTGCCAAGGACAGAAGATTAACCCACCTCCAGTGCAAGATTACTGCAATACTAAGTATGAATTTTTAGGCAGTGCAGAAAACATTAATCTCTTGATAGAAAAAAAGCTACCATACTGGCCAGTTAAGCACCTAAAATGCCTATTCTCACAATAACCTTTCAGTACACAGAAAAGGCATTTAAAATAAAGTTTCATTCTGCTTTAAACACAGCAATGACTGGAAGGAAGTCAGTTACCCATATTTTTCTGCAAGTTCCTTTGCTTCTTCTTCTTTCACCATTCTTTGGTCTTCCAGATCACTCTTGTTTCCACATAATACAATGTCAGGGTTTTCACAATATGCATGCATCTGTAGCTGACCTAACAGCAACAACATGAACAGGGGTCACAATTTGCTGTCACACATAAAGCTCACTGAGAACACGACCACATTTCAGGGGGGACAAAGTCCTTCAGGTAAACAACTCCTTGAAAGACAGAAACCAGTATGTTCTCTGGTACCTCACAGGACTTCTGCTATTGCACTGGGGAGCCAGAGAACAGGGGGTCATGACTCTCATGTACCCAGTGAAACAGCCAGAGGAGCAGAGGCCTGACAAAGCCAGCACTGAAGCTGTGTATTTGTAACTTTAGGAGTTATGCTCACCACGCATCTTCAGTGAGCTGCCAGGAAAAGATATACCTCCTTCTCCTGATGGATGATGCAGTCTGGGAACTCCTTTGCCTAGATACGCCAGCCTAGTAACATTTGCCTTCCATTAAGGTTCGCTGACACAGATTAAGCTGTGTCACAACAGAGTTTTGCATAGGCTTTCCACACACTAAAATTACTGAATATCATCAGAGCCAGGGATATGATTTTCTCTCAGCTTGCTTTTATCTAGGTTAAGATTCAAGTTCAGTTGGCAAGGCTGAATTTCAAGTAAGCACTAGAAGTCACTCCCAGCAGCTAGTATAATTACGAATGCAACATTTTCTTTCTTCTACTGAGAAAGCCTTAAAAAACAGTATTTCTAGTTCTATTTCTCAGTGAGACTCCATATTTACAAACACAACCCTCTCCCCACCCATGCTGAGGAAGAAAGAAAAAAGAAATGCCATACTTATCCAGTTCCTGACATTCAGAAAGCTTTGCTCGTTTGTCAGATCGAAGAGTAGAAGAAAGCCCATGGCATCTCTGAAGAAAGCCGTTGTCAGGCTACGAAACCTAGACCAGCAAAATTAGATTAGCTGGCTCATCTGGCAACTTACTTTGAAAATATAATTGCACAGAGTCATAAAACTGAGGTAATTTAAGACTGAGTTAACTGGAATGAAATATTAACCATAATTGTTTTGCTGAGGTAGTTGCTGCATAACAACAATTTCTAACATTACTACGGTCTTATGAAGGCCTAAGGAAGTCAAGGAGACATTTCACTCTCACATGAGAGTGACTTTAGACAAAGTCTTCTGCTATAAAGCTTGACTTGATCAGATTCAGAAATTTGGTCCCTAATCACATCAGTTCTTGATTTTAAGACTACCAACCACTAGGATGTTAGTCTTTTGACAGACAACAAGAAAAGAATCATTTGAGGGGATTTCGTCTGTCTGACTTTCCCAAGACCTCAACATATTTGCAGAAACTTAAGGAAAACTGAAAGAAAAAAAAGTTTTAAAAGCATCTCTATGTATTGGTTATGAAAAAATAAACTGAAAGTTTCCAAAAGCCAAAAAGCAACAATTACAGTTTTAATGTTCTACAGTTGGAAATTACAGTTGTAATTTAATGGGTATTCATAGCAAACTTTCTATTCCTGTTGAAATGGAAGTAAGCACATTTTCCCATCCCGAGTCATACAATTAAAATATAACAATCAATAAAGAGAATTCATGTACTCCGTTCCATGCACAACTAGCTTGATGACCAGTGCCTTACTTGCTAGGTGTGGGATGGAACATACCTTTCCTGCCCTGCAGTATCCCAGAGCTGAAGATGTATCCTCTGTCCTCTGCCACCGATGCCATCTGGCCCATTGGGTCTATACACCTGTGAAAGGCAAATTTGAAAGACTGAGTGTCAGCAGTCCAGCTTCTACAGAACACAAAATAGAAGACATTTTAAGTCACTAAATGGAGCAAAACTAGCACTGTCAATGCAAAGATACCAAGTACAACTCAATCCATCTACTTTATAAGACAAAAGTAATATGGGATGCATTATTTTAATTTTGCATCCAACTGAATATTTAAAAATAAGGGTAAAAGTGAAACTGTCAAACAGTTTCATTAGACAAGCTTAATTTTAGGGTTTGTTTTTTTTCTGTTTTAAACTGTTATCTTGTATCAAATTGGTTTACTTTCATCCTGTGTTCAGGTTTAAATACAAGAAAGCAACAATGGGATCCTGCAACCAGGCAATATTCTTGTACCACTACAGAACCTCATTAGCAAACCGAATACACTCCTAATGACATCTTGTTTTAGCTGCCAAAAGATTGCTGAAGAAGAGCTGAGGGTAGATCTTATCCTATCATTAGCTTAAAAAGCAGAAAATGGATGATAATAATAAAAGCCGAAGTGTTTACTCAGCATGAAAATATAAATAAGGGCATCTGTTAGCTTTGGAAGGATCAGATAAAAATAGATTAATTTCTTGTTTAGAACACCTCATTGTTAGGTCTTCTTTACCTTTGACTGCTGTTGTACCCATGTTTCTAACGCTCTCATTATCTTATCTTTAGAGACACATAAACTTGCTGAATATGTGGATTAAATGATTCAGGTTGTGAAAACTAAATCTTATCCTGAGTTATCAAATATGCTGATCAAGTAAACACACCACGTTTAGTATCCCACAAAAGGAACACTAACTATTCAAAAGATCAGTTTCGCATTTCACTGGAGTATTTACTCCTTGCACTACTGTGGTGCATGTCATCCATCAAAAGCAACGCTCATTACACCATCCAGATTTCTGGACACTTGGTAAACCATCAGCCCACACTGAAAGGCATTTAATACTTTTACATAGAAATGTGCTGAATCAATTTCTCAGTGCAGTAAGGACCCACATCCAATTGGTCATCCTAATGCAGTGCTCAGTTTATTATCAAAAGTACACTTGCCTGGTTTGATAACAATTCAGAGGTTTTAAAAGAAAAAACAAACCACCTACTACCTGATTTTTCACAATTCTTCTCTGGTAGTGGCAGCTGCTCTGAAAGCCAGTTCAGCTCCATGTATCTGCTATCCCATTTCATTCACATGTTTTAAAACTGTTTTAAAAATCAACATTGCAGTCTTTGTTCATGAGCCATTTGAGTTCACAAGCAGCAGAACCACTTTTACTACAGTCCAATCCTTCCTTGTGACGATAGTTCAACAATAAAAGTGTTACTCCAGGTACTATAAGCACAACTCACAGAGTAGGTACCCTCATCAACACTTGCTGAGCGTCAAGAAATGGTTGCTTAGTATCGGCTCTTCTTACTTTAACTTTGGGGGAAACAGGGGAGACAACAAAAATAACCAGGTAAAATGAAGTCACTTCTTTGTCACAAGATTAAGTCCACAATAACTGACTGCATGCCCATATGTAAGGATTAGCAGGTTAGATTGTAATAAACCAGATTCTAGCCATCACCAAGCCAGGTCCCATCTTGTAGCACAGCATTTGTGAAAACTCACCACTCTCTTTTCCCGAAAGTCAATGCCCACGGTTGTGATAAATTTGGAATTGAATTTGCCATCTGTGTATTGGTAAAGAAGGCTGGTCTTTCCTACTCCAGAATCACCGAGTGCTAGAAATTTTATGAGGTAATCGTAGTCCCCATCAGACATAGTGAGAATTCAGGACACACCTTGAAAAGCAAAGCAAAAAGGATTAGTTAGTCAACAACTCTGCCGAGGCTTCTTTTCACAAATGTTTAAAATACCAATCACTACTTGAAGTACAGAGATCCAGCAGTGGATCCAGTTCTGTACTCTTTTACACCGGTTTCACTTTAAACTCTCAGTTACGCCCATTACCAATATCAAATTCAGCTGTGGCTGAAGAAGTGCAGAGTTAATTTTATTACATTCCTCTTACTAGAAAGAGAAAGCAACACACAATTTAACTTCCTCAGGAAAGACTGAAAATCGAGGTCAAAGTATTCAAGACCTCTAGAACACGAGCTGCAGAACTGTTTTTAATCTGCGTGGAAGCTGGCAAAAGCTACTTAAACGTACCAGCAGTGCAATTCTGATCTCACTTTCACTGTGACACCATTAACATAGAGTAAAAAAACACTTTACAGACTGCCCACTACATTTAAATAAAAATGACAATGATTTTCTATTAATAGTTACTTTTCAGTCTTGAAAATGGTTTCCATTTTTTCATACAAAGAGGGAAATTAACCAAGCAAAATTTTGGTTTTGTTACAGTTTCTGTGGTTTTCATTTTGTTTAAAAACTGTGGAAATCGTTCCTATAAAGTTTTTATCATTATGCTAGTTAATCATTTAAACTAAATCTTCATCACTGGTCGCCATTAAGCAACACATACGTTTCCCCATGGCCCATACACATTTTCTCTCTCCCCTTTTAGTGCTTTTGAAAAAATAACCATATTAAATATAGTCTGATTGAAGTGCAATAACAGCTAGAATGTGTAACAAAAATCACTGGCAAATATCCCATATGCTAGAAAGACTGATGTAAGTGCAGTAGTACTTTCCTGTTGAGTAGCTACTGAGCCTCTCTTCCCCCAAAATAAACAGTAGAGAGCTGCCTTATGTTGCGTTCAAAGACATGAACATGAAAAGATAAGCTTAAAATAACCATTCTAAAAGCAACATAAAACTGGCATTGTCTCTTCTGAAGGAGGGAAATAGATACAAAGGATAAGATAAATGATGAAAAAAAATAGTAATTTTAAAAAGTAAAATATGATGCTGCAACTGTAAGTAAGTATTATTGGAACTATTTGTAACTTGAACTAGCTCTGACTTTATGCAAGTCAAACACTGCATCAATGGCAAAACACCAATTCATTTCTTGAATATCAACTCACCGATTAAGGTTTGGAACAAACTCAGTACCTCAAGTGAGTGGGTGTCAATCACCACCACTAAGCTAAAACCCGAACTATCTTTAAAGCTTCAACTTTATGTTAGTAATACTTGTGGTTACACAAGATAACTGTGATAAACTGATTTGGCTGTAACTGGACTTACCACAATCAAACACACAGAATGGTCAGATTTATGCCCAGATACTCTCCAACTGAAAAGTCAGTGGAAAGCATCTGACGCTCTTTTGCCATTTCCAGTTTTGAGTCTCCCTTTCCCACATCTTATATTATGCCATCAATGACAGTAAAACCTTGCAGGAAAGGTGTTTTAGGTGGCAGAGATCACACTACCTTACCACAGATAGCTAACTTACTTTCCACTGATATGTTTTAATACAAAGTTTTTCAGTAATGGTGTCCTCAACATAAAAGTGTGTCTTCAATGGTGTCCTCAACATAAAAAGGACATGGACCTGTTGGAGCAAGTCCAGAGGAAGGCCACGAGGATGATCAGGGGGCTGGAGCCGCTCCCTTAGGAAGATAGGCTGAGAAAGTTGGGGCTGGTCAGCCTGGAGAAGAGAAGCTGTGTGGAGACGTCATAGCAGCTTCCAGTATCTGAAGGGGGCCTACAAGGATGCTGGAGAGAGACTCTTCATCAGGGACTGTAGTGATAAGACAAGGGGTAATGGGTTTAAACTTAAACAGGAGAAGTTTAGATTAGATATAAGGAAGAAGTTCTTCACAGTGAGGGTGGTGAGGCACTGGAAGAGGTTGCCTGCAGAAGTGGTAAATGCTCCATCCCTGGCGGTGTTCAACGCCAGGCTGGACAGAGCCTTGGCCGACATGGTCTAAAGTGAGGTGTCCCTGCAATGGGGGGGTTGGAACTAGGTGATCTCAAGGTCCTTTCCAACCAAAACCATTCTATGGTTCTATGAATAGAATAAAAGATTGAAACAAAAAAGCCTGCAGTAATAGTTATCAGTGAGCTTTTTACACAAATACTCCACAACCGCAGGCTTGCATCCACCAAAAAGGTCCAAAATAATAGAATATTCAAATGAGCAAGTTGAAAAGGTAGCCACACGCTGACATAAGAACATTTTTAGAACAAATTAAAGGCCCTGATCCATTAGACACACTCACACATACCAGCAAAAGGGTTTTAGGGGGTTTTGTTTTTTAAATCCTCCCTCGTTGGAGAAGGAAAAAACAAAAAGTAAAATCAGATTGCCCACCTTGTAGCTCTACAAAGTCTTTTCATTGAAATGCACTAGAAGAAAGGGAAAGGTATTTTAAATAGCAAACAAGGGGGATTTTACTGAAGACTGGATTTGATTTAGACTTCTATCTTGTATACCGTGTTTGTTTTGCCCTTACGTTCTCCAAGGGTAAAAAGCTGTGTAAGCTCCCCCTCTATTCACATCCATATTTTTTCGGCTTCAATACCCCTAATTAATTGTTGCTTAAAAAGGCTTTAATGGAAATCTTAGGGCGAGTATATCACACAAAGACAAGCTACCTTTCCTATCTTTTACTGTGTCATCCCACCTGTTCAAGTATTTGCCTTGTCTTGTTGGTACTTTGTTAGCTAGCTATAGGTATATAGAACATGCTTTTAATAACAGATACCAATTACAGTGCTACCTAATCGCTGATTATCTATGTTGTAATAAAACTAATTTATCATGCACCCTGTGCAAGACCTTACAGAGGAAGAAAGGGCGCTGCAGCTCGTACTTGGAGCTGTAAGAAACTGTTAGGGTTAAGCTGCAGCCTCCCACTGGCCAGAGCTGGGTGAAAGCTCCAGTTAAAACAGGAAGGTCAGACCTTGGGGAAGTGAAGCCTAAAGGTACTCCTAGTGTCATATCTGATTTGTAGAGTATCTCTTTGGACAAATATACCACATCATTCGGACCACCTGAACCTCAGTTCTCCCTATGGCTGGTAACAAATGTTACTTGGAAATGACTGATGGAGGACTAGGAGCCCTTCACAGGAAGGGCATAAACTGTCTTCTAAAAGATTTGCTCGAGAAGGAAATTTTCTTCTCTGGCTTTTGGAATGCACACACCTTTCACTGCACCCCATAATGTCAATCTATTATTCAGATATCTCCAGGGAGTGGTTCTTATGAAACCCTGCACAGTTACCCTATCCTTGGAGACATGCAAAGAGCTGTTTTCAGAGCAGGTTCAAGCCTTGTCCTCCTCCCTGTACAAATATTTAGAAAGTGATCTCCACCCTCTACTTCCGAGACCTGCAGTCCTAGTGCCCAAATACATCCAGCTCCACATAACAAGTAAGAACATATTCATAGCAAAGTGAAAACATAGCAAAAACTGTTGTGGAGTTTTTAAGTCATGGTCCTGTTACTTTATAGCTTCACACCTTCCAGTCTTTCCTTCCATATTTCTGTAACTCATGTATCAGGAAAGTGGGAGGTAGAAAAGAATGAGAGGTCGTTTATGATACAATTAAACTTCATCAGGTCACCAAAAGAAAAAAATCTGAATCCATTTTAGAATGATCATTCACAAATTTTGCTTCTAAGACTAAGAACTCCTTGGCTGAAAAAATTCACTGATGGACACAGTCTTAGGCTCCACATCAAGCCCTACAGGGGTTTTCATTTTGTAGACCCCTCCTTAAATCACATTCAGCTCTGGCTTTGCACTTGCCTAGCATACAGATGGACAGGGATCACAAGCAAGTGCTGGGAAAACTCTTCCAGCCCTTTCCATTGCTGACAGGACCCACACAGCCACCACTTAAGCTGTGCCTGTACAGCTGCCTCTCTGGAGCCTCCACATACACACACATCCAGATCGTGCCTTGCCAAGAAGGGACACTCTGCAAAGCAAGCGCTCCTCTTGTTCAGTGACTTTCCCAGTCCAAGGTCACATTAACAGGCATCAGCATTAGAAGGCTCATATTTTTGCCTCCAGGACACTAATATCACAACCCTATTGTGTGATAAAACATTCAAGACTATGGCAGTGTTGCTGCTGTATAAACTAAGGAAATTGACTTGGCAAGCAGGATTTCGCCTGTGCAACACAGGGACAGGGAATATGCTTCCTGAACCGGCCTTGCACAAAACATGCAGTTCCTGTGCTGCTGCAGAGCTGATGAAGAGGAGAAGGAAAAGGGAAGCAGGCACAAAGAACTGAGTAAATGAAAACACAAGCCAAAAAAAATAAAACAAATCAAAGAACCCAACAAGCACTGAGCTGCAAATGGAAATGTGTACACACGTACAGGGAAAAAACCTGTAAACCTGAACATGCTCCTAACCAGACAGTCCTCAAGCACATCAATTTAAAGTAAAGCACACCACTTACCCCAAACTCTGCTAAAGGAGTAGTAAAGGGCACAGTGGAGAGAGTACTTCCACTAGGAGTATTTTTCGAGCACCACCTCTTTAGCACACAGCCAAGGGGCCTACGTGTCACCTGTTTGCATCCGTGTTGATGGGTGCCCAGACAGAGGTGTGCCTCACGTCTCCATGCCTAGGGAGGGCGCTGCCTGACAGCACGGCTGGAAAGCAATTACACAGTTCACACGTCCCATTTATTCCTAGAGGCAAACAGCATTTCAGAAGAGGTTTGTGCATGACGTACCTAAGAGCAGAACTGAAGTACCTGCTCAAGCACCCACATGCCTCAGTAAAATTGCATTGTTCCTAACGAGTGTTTTCATACAAAAATGTAATAATGATGGAGTATATGGATCACAGCTGTTCAGTTCTGTTCATAGTTTTACATCCTTCTCCCTCAGGTGTGAGGAGGATACACCAGTCTCTAA